AGCAGCAGAACTATAGAGATAGATCAGGATAACCTGAGCCACTCTAACTAGAAGTTACAGCTCCCAAAACATTTACGATATAACTGCTATTCTTTGACTCCCCCGGTGCTGAAGGGGAGAGCTTTGCTGATTGTCGAACCTTCTGTAACATATCCAATTAGTTCTAGAAGGAACCCAAATAGTTCCTTTAAAAGCTCATGCAAAATAGAAGTAGGTTAAAAGAAACTTATGTAAAATAATCTGTAAATATCAGCAAAAAGTGACCTTTTATTCTAAAAGTCATATGTTTCATGTATTGGTATTTTTTGCCTTTCTATATTGTTAACTTTCAACCTCAGTCTGTCTGTTTTTGTTACTTTCAGTGTCTTTAGTTTGGATTCTTTTCCCCATTTTAGTTCCTCTTTAGCCCTGAGACAATGAGTTTCTGTGATATCTGTTCCTCATGATGTTTGATCATTATTGTGCAACTCCTCACTGGATATTTTTCTTCTGTTGTAAGAATATTGGGGTTTTAAAGTTTCATTTCTGTTTTGTGGTAAATCCTGTACATGGGCTCTGGCATATCTTGCCTATTTATCACCTGATTTAGTTTAAGGTTAAAGAGAAGTTCTCCCTTTTCTGACCTACCTTTTACCTCTGAAAAATCATTTTTAACCTCTGAGGTAAATGTCTAAAAGAAATGAAACCAAAGAAAAACAAAACGCACCTGTTTTATCAGGGTTTATGGAAAAATATAGCTGAGTATTGCCAACCTAAATAACATTAACAAACATAAATGTAACAGTAAAATTACCAGAACTGCTGTCTAATAACTTTACTAAATAAAGGAATAATTATAAAATTAAGAGAATTTGCCCTAGCACTGATACCTGAGGTACTCCGGAAGTATTGCAGGATAACTTCAGTGAATTAATGAGGCATCATCAAGAAATTTCTAAAAATTATTGTAAAAATCAGGAGCTGTTCCACATGGTGACGCCTTAAGAAAGCTGATATGAGTGTCCCAGTTATACTTTTAAAGACTGAAATCTGATGTTTGATTGCAATAGCTAATTCATGATTTAACTAAACCAGGTAAAACATCCAGATAATCTCTCAAAGCCATCCTATCTATCATAACTCTTGCAGTTTATCCATTTGGAAGAAACATTTAAAGGACATCGTCAGGTTTTTGTTTCTGTTATGTTTTTTTTTTGAGTATCCAGTTTTGCTTTGCTCCTTGTTTTCAAGTTTTAGTGGGTTAATTCTTAGTTT